CCTGCTCCACCCAGAGGCTACACCACCTCTGCTGCTGTGACCTGTCCTGCTCCACCCAGAGGCTACACCACCTCTGCTGCTGTGACCTGTCCTGCTCCACCCAGAGGCTACACCACCTCTGCTGCTGTGACCTGTCCTGCTCCACCCAGAGGCTACACCACCTCTGCTGCTGTGACCTGTCCTGCTCCACCCAGAGGCTACACCACCTCTGCTGCTGAGACGTGAAGGGCTGTTGCTGATTATTACTATTGTTATCTTTTTAGAATTATCAATTTATTTTTTTCTTTTTGCTTCTACTGGACACCTGCATTTCTCCTAAGGGGATTAATAAAGTATCTATATCTATATCTCTATCTATCTAAAAGATTTACTCCATTCCTCACTTCAATGGGTTACAGTAACCAGTCTTTGAGATGAAAAATGAAAGAGACAGTATAGACACTGTATCCTGTCTTAGTGTTAATAGTAAACAAGACACATTTCTACATGTTGTGTCGCTCTTTGATGTTTTTCTTTTATAAAAATTGATTAAAACATGTTCAAAAAAAGCTAGTTGCTGAAATTCAAACCAACCATGCAGTCTTTTGTCTGAAAAGTGTGAGAAGCAAATAGGCCTGCTGTATTGTAAAAAAAAATGAATGGGATGACAAAATCCACTCTTATATGTCGTAATGTAGTATTTTGTATAAATCTACTTTATATTATGAAATTTCTGCGATCTATAATTGTGTCTGCTCAGAAGGGTGACACAGGCGATTGGCAGGCAAAAGGCAATTACTGAACATGTGAGTAAGTAGTTTGCTATTTTTGCTATTCAAAGGTTCAGTGAGTAAACACAAAGAGATGCTTTTGTCATAGCTGAAGATGCACCACAAAACAATTATCACTGCTGACAAGAGAAAACTCGGAATAAACTGTTTGGTCACTGATGTAAATAACTTAGAAGGACCAGAGAGTAACTAAAGCTTCCTGTGAACGGCACTGAGCCACAAAAGACTGGTGGGAGTATTATTTTACTGTAAGAACACTGAATACAGGGAGAATGAAGAGGGAATGAATGAAATGCAGGTCAAGGTAAAGAAAAGACTTTATCCAAAACCCAAAGTAAACTGGGAATAACCTACATTCATGCAAGAATATTTTACATGAAGTGGACAGTGGCTCCAACCTGGACTTTGTATGGGACCCACAGCCACATAGCCATGGGTCGCTCGGTTTTGGAAGTTACACAGCACAATATATATGAATAATAACTCTATACTAAAATTAAAATGAATAAAATAAAATCTCTAACCATAAAGAAGCAGCACAAAAACCCCTGACTTTAGCAAAATATGGAGTAATTATAAAATACTGTATATTCTAGTGCAAGAAATATATAGTTGTGTGTATACATCATGTTAGCATTTTGGTAACTTTGTATTGATCTGTATTGTATTATGTCTGTTATGTGATTGTATTGTCATGATGGAAGGTAGCAAATCTGGTGCAGTCATGAGAGATGGGAAAGTTTTGCTGTGTTTTTAATTGTGAAAACGCCCAGAGCGATACAAGGATGTCTAATTTTTCTAAATACCAGCCGTAATACACAGTTTTAGCAAGATAGGTTGCGTGGAACTATCTTGATAGGTTAGGCTATGCTAAGTGAACTGAGGCGCAGCGGATTTACAAACTGGGCTTTTTTAGATAAAACTAAAGCACCAACATCTTCAGCAAAAGTCTTGTTTTTCCACCAAAAAAGAAAAACACACATTTCTGGATTATCTCTGAAGAATGAACTATATTTTGGGAATCACAAATGGATATGTATGTGTGTTTTTTGTGATGCTTTTGTTGTCCTGGACCTGTGTGTGTGTGTGTGTGTGTGTGTGTGTGTGCACTTGTTTTCAACTCCTGGTGGGTTCCATAACCTGAGATTCCACTCACGTCATGGGGACTGGTTTTACGTGGTGGGGCCCGAACACCGGACCCCACTGGTCCAAGCTTAATAATCAATGGGTAATGCTTTTCTAACGGTCCTTATGCAGTCTCTGTAAAAATATGGAAAGGACCCCTGGAGGTTTACTTTCCTGAAAAAAGTGTGTTATGTGTCGGAACCCTGGTGGTGGGTTGCGGGATATCAAGGAGGGGCACACTGGGGCAATTTCAGTCCAGCAGGCTGGAGCCAATCATGGAGCAGCACAACAGAGGAAATCAGGTGTCAGGCTAGAAAAAGGTGCAAGTGTGTGGTTCATTAGGCTGCAAGAAATCATGGAGGAGCACACTGAAGCGCACGCTTACAAACCACTGGTAAGTGCTGACTACAAGTCATGACTTCAAATTGTTATATAGAATGATTACAAATTATTTGTTGTTTGTGCAGCTTAGTCAAGAGTCCCTAATTGATGAAGTCGACTCAGATTCTGACGATTTAACTGTCAAGAAGAAACCTGTAAAAAAGTATGGAAAAAGAAAAATCAAAAACACTTTTCTTCAAGACTCGGAAAGTGACGAACCAAAGGCAAATAAGATTGTTATCATGCAGCTGCAAAAGAAGAAAAATGGGGGGCGAGTATACAGCAAGAGACACTTCTGCCTCTACTGTTCAATGTCCTGCCACAAAATGTCCCGTCATTTGACTAGAAAACATGGAAATGAAAGTGACGTAGCCAGAGCATTGGCTCTACCTGTGAAATCTAAAGCACGTAAACTTCAGTTTGATTTGATCAGGAATAGTGGAAACCGTGAGCACAATTTTGAGGTTTTAAAGGCCGGCATTGGAACTTTAGTCCCCAGCTAAACAGCCAAATTCCCCAGTTAAATCCAGTGAGTTTTTGCACTGTATAGACTGTGGGGCATTGCTTAAGCGAAAGTCGCTGTGGAGGCATGTGGCCAGGTGCCGGCTTTCACAGAAAGATGCCCAGGCTAAACCAGGTAGAAGTAGGGTCCAGTCCCTCTGCTCCCTAGCCCAGCCTGTACCGGAGGGCATCAGCAAAAAGCTGTGGTCTTTAATTTCGGCAATGCATCAGGATGAGGTCACGGGTGTTGTCAAAGCAGAAAAGGGGATTCTGAGACTCGGAGAGAACCTGTACTTAAAACACGGGCATGATAAGACAAAGCATGATTACATTAGGCAGAAAATGAGAGAAGTCGGTAGGTTAATTAACGAAGCAAAAACCGCAGGGAAACTGAAAACAATTAAGGATTTCTTTATTCCTTCCAACTTTAACCATGTGATTGATGCAGTCAGGTCTGTGGCTGGATATGATGAGGAAACAAATCAATACAAGACTCCATCCTTGGCCCTCAAACTCGGCCATAGCCTCAGAAAGCTAGCAGATATTCTTGAATGTGACTCAAAAATGGAGCATTGTGTTGATGAACTATTTATTAAAAACCTCCAACGAAGCCGGCTGCTTTTTGAGAAGAGGTGGGACGTCTGTGTTTCTTCTGCTGCCCTACAGACCCTCCGGCAAGCCAAGTGGAACACTCCGGACCTGCTCCCTCTGACTGAGGACGTTAGAGCCATGCATGCACATATTGAGGTATGTCGACCTGAATATGTGCAAACCCTAATAAGTGAGCCAACGTCTAAGCATTGGTCTAAACTGGCAGTTTTGACTCTTTGTGAGGTCATCATTTTCAATCGAAGAAGGGAAGGTGAGGTTTCAAAGATGCCACTGACAGCCTTTACCTTAAGAAGTAAGACTGGGATCCATTCTGACATTGCTCTGGGACTGTCCCAACTTGAGAAAAAGCTGTGTCAGCATTTTCAACGCATTGAAATTAAAGGGAAAAGAAGTCGGAAAGTGCCGGTTCTTTTGACTCCTGAAATGATTGCTTCGATGGAGGTGCTGGTGGAGAACAGAAGGGCCTGTTCCATCTCTGACCATAACCCATACTTCTTTTCCCGCCCGGGCGCAGACACCCACATCAGGGGATCAGACTCCCTACGCCAGGTAGCCAAAGAATGTGGTGCGGTGCATCCAGAGATGCTATCCTCAACCAAACTTAGAAAGCACATAGCTACTATGTCTACAGTTCTCAATATGAAAGAGAATGAGATGGACATACTTGCCAACTTCCTCGGCCATGACATTCGCATCCACAGGCAATATTACAGACTACCAGAGGGGACACTGGAGCTGGCCAAAATCAGCAAAGTGTTGATGGCCATGGAGCAGGGAAGAGTGACGGAATTCGAAGGAAAGAGCCTCGACCAGATACAAATTGAGCCTGAAGGTAATTCTTGATATTATTAAAATATGTATGATTTTTTTCCCCTAAAGGCCACTTGTATTTTTATTTTCTGTGCGACAGGGAGAGCAGTAGAGATCCTCTCACAAACGGACGGGCTAAAAGAAACTTCAAGCGGAGAACCTTCAACCATTCATCCAGATGCACCCCATGGTAGTGGCAGTGCCCCTTCTGGTAAGTGTACCAGGTGGGGGATTACAGCCAGGCTGCTTGGTCCTCACCCTGGGAGTGTATATTGCTAATATATTTTTATTTCTCTCCCTAGAACGTGTAAGAAAGCCATGGTCTGCATCTGAGGTGAAGGCTGTGGAGAAGACCATGACACCTTTCATACAGACTGGAAAGGTCCCTGGGAAGTCTCACTGCCTGGCCTGCATTAATGCCTCACCAGATGACCTTAGACATCGGACATGGAGTGGCATTAAATTCTATGTCAAAAATAGAATCACTGCAATTCGAAAACAAAATCTAAAATAAAATTCCTTTAAAATAGTTGTTTGGTTTCTATTGACTGTTTTGTATTACTTAAAGTCTTGGTAAAAAAAGATTATGTCTATGGGTCCCATTCTGAACGGCCCTGTCAAAGGGACCCACCAGGTAACAAAAACGTGTATGTGTGTGTGTGTGTGTGTGTGTGTGTGTATGTGTGTGTGTGTGTGTGTGTGTGTGTATCGTTGTATGTTTTATGTGATGCTCTTGTTTCCCTGGACCTGTGTGTGTATGTCTTTGTGCGTTTTGTTGCAGTTGCATAGACGGACACTCACAGTGAATCGGCCCCCAGGATCATGAGTGCCTTCTCCCCAGAGTGTTTGCTTCTGAAGGTGAGTCTGAAGAGGTGACTGGAGGCCTGTTTGGAGCTCAGCATGCTGGTGGGGCTTCGGACCGGAGACAGGCCCAGGTCCTCGGGCTGACAGCACCTCACCCAGATCTCATCCCTCAGAGCGTAGTCGATTACGCTGTAGCTGTCCTCGCTGGAACACACAAAGTTTTACAAAATTAGAAACCAAGAAGTATTTTGTGTTAAAGTAGTTGAAAGCAGTATTTTAACTCATATTTGACGCTGAGGAATACATTTTGTGGGACTTCACTTAATTTTCAAGACATAATGTGGTCCTACTAAACTACAGATTACGCTTTAGATCATTGAAAAGCTTTGGTACGTAACTTTTGAACAACATCATCAACATGCACAGAATCATGTTCCTTGAAATTCAAACACTTCGATTCCATCCCTACTTTTCACATTCATGTCGTTTTGGCCCCGTAACATTTTTATTAGAAAGAAAAGTGAAAAAGAGAGTTAGATAGTGACTAAAAAGTAAACATGTTTTCTAATAAGATTAAAGCTGCATATTGTGGTCTTATTTGTTCACAACCTTTTACTTCCGGGACAAAGAACAGATTAGATTAAGAGATCCTTCATTCGTCCTACACTGGGAAATGTCAGTGTTGCATCATCAGTTACATTGCAGTAGGAATGCGGAGCAAACAACACACTAAAATAAAATAAAATCACCAACTTTAGCATAATAAGAAAGCAAGTATAACAAGACCAATTTAGCAAAATGAAGAAGCAAGAAGCAAGTATAGAATCTCTGAGTTTAGCATAATAAAAAAGTAAGCATACAATCTCTAACTTATAATGATAAAGAAGCACACTGCAAAGAGTAATGGAAATTTGGCAAAATGTGTTTTAATTTGAGCACATTGGACTGCCTTAAAACAAGATCTGCTAGTGGGACAAGACAAATGATCTTGTTTTAAAAATATACAAGAAATGTCTCTGTTGGAATGAGAAAATACAGCAATAGTTCTTGAATGGCTTGAGTGGCTTGAGTGGCTTGTCCCATTGGCAACCTTATTTGAATACAGTCAGTATGTACTCAAATTGTCTCAATTACTACTTCAAATTGTGTATTTTTTGCAGTGCAGTATTAGTTATCCATTACCAAATGAGTTCCACATAAATATATTCTTGAACGTCAACAACCCTGGTAAGAAGGATTCTGAACATCTGTCATATGAAGCCATAGCTGATCCATCATACTCTGAGCCAGAGTTCCACAAACACAAATATGGTATTGGCTTCGAGAACAGCACATACACACACAGATCATGAGACACATCTGGAGGTGATTGTGAAATGCAGGGAAAGCGTTTGCGTTGCGTTGGGGGAAAAAACAGGAGCTCACATGGGATTTATCAAGCGTATGTGGGCAGACGGTGCAGACGGCTACCGGACAGAACAGGCCGAGGTGCATTTCAAGTTCAAACCTCACACACACATAAACAAGAGCGCGAGGAAGGAGTTAAACAAACGTTGGACCAAAGTGGATTTGTTTGAGGGTCATGACTGAACAGCTCCTGGTCACGGCTGGCAGCTTTTCAACAAGTGTTAGCAGTGTTAGTAGTCCGATTATGTGTACAAGACGAAATGCTGCACTGGGGTTAGGGTTAGGGTTGGTCGATAATAGATATATTTTTGTACTGGGGAAGAATTTCAATAATGTAAATAAAAGACAAGAAAAACAGGTGTCACATCAAATATCACCACATCCATCATATCCAATATCAATCACAGTGTGGGGACCATGGATCTATTATAATAACTGGAGGGTATTACTAGCTTGGAGCTGAAGGACCCGTGTGCTCGTGGGATTCTCGTGGGAATGCAGACCAAACAAGACTAAATTCACGTGGGCTACCCAGAGATTTTCCCCACAGAACTCTATGTAAACTAAAGCAGCTCGACCTCAGCTGACAGAGAACCTACAGCTTTCATAAAGGTCGGATTTTGTGGGGATTTTAGTGTCCCTTGTCATCCTGAACGTATATCCTTCAGTTTTCTTTAAATCCACACTTTAGTAACCCAAACTCTGCTCATTTGGCTCCTGCTCTAACTCTCACTCTAGCTCCACTCTGATCAGCAGCTCTGATTGGTCAAAGCGCGGCCGAGCCCCTCTGTGCACGTATTAGGCGCACCTTCTCCACCAACTCCCACTGATGACTGGTGTTGTTGTGTCCTTGGGCAAGACACTTAACCCCACTTTTCCCAAAGCTCCCACTAAAAGATCAAGGCTATGTTCACACTCAGAGAGCAGCCATCCTCCTGTGGACTCACCACCTGCAGAGGGTCAGTGAGGGGCTGGTGCTATGAGACTTGGGTGGCATCTCTGACTGCCACCCCCCTGACCCAGAAACGGATTAAAGGGTAGAAAATGGATGGATGGATGGCATCATGGGAGCTCGTCCACTGCGCAGAACCGAGAGGACTAGACGATGCCCAAATATAGGCGAGTTCCACTAATCTTTCGGTGCTTTTGGTAGCACATGCGCCACAGAGCACAAACCATTCACCTGGATCGCCGGGGCTTGGTGGGGACTTACAAGCAGCTAACTTTATTCAAAATGGGACTAATTATGTGTAGGAGACTCTAAAATGGTTCAAAAGTCCCTTTACTACATCTAATGTAGTATACAATGATAAACTTGTATACGACAGACTTCTTTCCATCAAAGTGAGATATGTCAAGCCTTTTTGAGGTTATAATGTTGATAATTCGCTCACAACATCTCAGAAAATGTAAACTATAATTAAAATTGACTGTAAGTAACATTCATCAACATTGTATTAGACTTGGTATACGTCTTTTTGCATGTAATATGTATCATTTACAGTCAAAGTTGAATTATAGAAAAATAACCACACTTGTGAACGATTTTCTGTTTACCTACATTAGCACCTACTGTAGATACTCAAAGGTGTCTCAAAATCTAGCACCTTCGGGTATCTAGGTACAGGTGCAGTCAGTCTTAAATAAATCGATGTAAACTTGGAAGAAGTAGTAGCCTGAGGACTCCTGCACTCTACAACCACTACTTGAATTTTCCTTTTCAAACTATTGGGGGTAGTCACATTACACTACCCCAATGTTTATGGGATTTAACCATTACAAATTGGGAATCTTGAAAGTACAAAGAAGTGGTTATTAAGAATCTCAAATGTCTGCCCTACAGGTAAAATTCTTGCAATACCATTTACATGACATACTGAGAGAAGGGTGTGTGGGGGTGGGGTGATTTATGTCAGCTTGGATGCTCCTGCTTGGATGTCATGAAGTAATCTCCATCCACTGCAACACCGGAGGCAATGTAGTAACAAGCGCAAAGAGTAAACTTAAGGTAACTACCAGAACAACAGCACTTTGCACAGTGAATTCTATCTGTGGGTCTCAGGTGTATGTCCCCAACATCTGGAAATGATGTACGGGAGGCCTCATCTCTAGCATTGTTTAAGTCCAAGCTAGTTAGTTGTTGCTGTTTTTTTTGCTGTTGTTTTTTCTTTTGCATTATTGTTTTACCTTTTATGTTTTATTAATGTTGAAAATGATTTATGTTTTCAATTATTCATGTTTTTAAGTGTGTCTTTGGAAAAGCCCTTTGGGTTGATTGAAACTTGATTGAATGATGAGACTTCAGCCATAGGAGAAAACAATAAGCCATGTATTTGGCTAATCCTAACTGCACATGGGAGATGAAAATGAGGGATTTCATGAATAGATAAATACCACAAATGCAGAAAATGAGTCATAAGCAGGCAGGATAAGAATGTTGGAGATCATACACGTCACCGTCTGGCGCTGACAAGGAACGGTTCAACCTGTTCCTCTAAAAGCCATCGGCTCAAGACTAAAAGTTTTGTGATACTGAGTAACTGAGGCTCTGAACAATAGCATACAAACTGTTGTCTGTTGGACTTTGGTTGTTTAGCTGAATAATCAACTGATTATGAACGCGCCACTCTAAGTAAAGTCACAGATTTGTTTCAAAAGAGGTGAACCGGCTAAAGTGACTGCAGTTTCACTTGTTTGGTTGTAATCTCCCAAAAATAAGCCTCATGACACAAGCAAACTAAATAAACCAGAAGAACAAGTGTGACAAAAATGTTTTCTCTTTGAATATTTAGTATATTAGGCAGATCAATGATTGTTTAAAAGGAAGAAGTAGAAGAAGAAGAAGAAGAAGAAAAGAAGAAGAAGAAGAGTCAGCAATTTGTCAACACAGGTCAGAGAATTAAATAGTTTAACCACAGGAAATGCTACAAAATCTTTCCTGGTAACGATGTCAACTATTGATTTTGATATTGATATTTTTTCAATATTTAATTCAAAAATGTGTATTTCCCACAGAGCTGTATTGCCACCTGCCCTACAACTTAAAATTCTGGAACATGAAGGCAACATGTGTATTTTTAGCCATTCTCTGGTCGATTACAGAAAACAGGCTTTAACACAGAGGAACATCAGTAATCCAGGAAGAATTTGATATTTCGATGGTGAGCGGGATCCCAGAGGAGAAGGAGGGATGTGGAGGGGTGTGGAGGGGTGTGAGAGCGGAGCCAGCTGCTGTGGACTTGCTCTTATGTAAGTGTTCCTGTAACTGTGAACCAGCCGCTCAGCTCTTTCACTCACAGACAAAGCCAAACTACAGATGAAAAAACATTCAAATCTAGGGAAAAACTCCTTCCCAGTAATATGTAATGAAAATAATCACTAACTATGTCCGCATACCGATACTGAACCTGAAACTGGGCACAAGATTTGATCTCAAACTTGACTCAACAACAAAGTTTATCATTTTTATTCATTCTTCATTAAATCGACTGGAAAGAATAAACGTTTGAACGCCCTTGCTACATATATGATTTCATGGCCTGCACAAAAACCACCAAACCACAGCGGAGAGCAGAGAGTTATCGTGTAGAGTGATGTCAAGCGAATGTTTTTGTATCATTTGTGGAGCTCTGTGGATCAGCCGCTTTCATGCGAAGAGAACAAATTAATATTATAATAACTTCTCCAACTGGACAAAACATAAGAACTCCCCTTTTGCCAGGTTCATATTTCAAACCCCTACAGCACCCGCTCCCCAACTCCAGGCCAGGCTGTCCAGATCAAATTCACAGAAAAAAAAGCATATGGAATGTTTTTAATGTTTCCTTGGAATTTGGTGTGTGCAAGTGGCAGGAAAAATCAATACCAGGCACAGATCGGGCTGAGTTCATACGATCTCATGAAAGCAGCTTTTACAATATCAGGCGAGCAGTGTTTGCACATTTTTTGTCAAATGGATTCAATAATGGTGAAGTTATTAGTGCAGCACCTCCCCTCACCATCTCTGGATTGGATTCTACCAGTTAAATATATACAGTTTTTTATGCAAATGGCTTTCAGCCAGTTAATTATAGTAATATAGTTATTTGGCTGTGTTGTATACACTATCCAACAATAATAGATAGATAGATACTTTATTGATCTTTATTGATTTATAGATTGATAAACATGTACAGAGGCTTGCAAAAACAAAATTCACTTTTGCATTATTTGTCATACCATACGTTTGTCATCATCCAAAAATATACATATTTTATTTTGGATATTTTTTTATAATTCTTAATATTATATTATTTCTATAAAGTAAAACTGTGAAGTGAAAGCAAAATGGTTCTGTTGTATTATATTTTAATATGAAAAGTTAGGCTTGCAAAAGTATTCATACAACATGAGTAAACACAGTACTCTTGCAGGCTTATGGGGAATGACTCTACAAGCTTTGCACATCTAGAGACTGAAAGTTTATCCCATTTTAGCAATTTTTTGCACTCAGCTGTATAAATACATGTGTACTGTAAATATATTAAATGCTGTATAAAAACATGTGCAAGCCTCATTTGTCTGTTCTATCAAACATTCAAAAATAACACCATCTTGAATCTTTTTTTCCCCATAGTTATTTGTTATTTTTCTGAAAATAAAATCTATATTTTTGCAGTTGAGGTGTGCAAGCCACTGTACACTGTAGAAAGATGCACGTGGTTGGAAAGGAAAACTGTTGCTCACCACTTTCAGACATATTGCAGAGACTTTTTGTCATTTACATTGCTGATTTAATCCTTTGTTTTATTTGTGTATTTTTGGTTGAATCCTTTCTTCAGCCCAAGATATTTTCCTCAACACGTTAAGACATGGACTTTACATGACAGAACCTTGCACTGATCCTACGGGGGATTGGCCCCAAAGGTTTCGCATGACACAGACCTGGTTTCAGACTCGGCTTTCACTGCCTACGTGTTCATACAGGTGAGAAATGTTCGAGACAGAAGCACGGCCACACAGAGCATCATGGCCCACGGCTCACCTCTTCCTCTTAGTGACGATCAGGACATCATTAAACAGGAAGAAGTAGACCTGTTGCCGTGACGTCCGTTTGAGAAAGATGCCGCTGTCCTCCGCAAATGCTGTCAGCTCTCCTCTTTTGACCATCCACCTGGACGACGAGACCAGGGGAAACGGCTGCAGAAAAATAAACCGTAATAAGTTTCATTCACCATACTACAGAATGTTCAACATGAAATTATGAAAAATGGACATGGAAATATTCTATTCTCAAACTTTTTAATCATGCAACTGTCCCAATGCGACTGCAAAAATTAAATATTATTATTAAGAGGAAAATCATGGTGAAGTTGGGTTAGGGTTACTAGTTCTTAGCTCTCAAAGCAGTTCTGTGACTAGTTTTTACAGGCATGGATTGTGTCACATCTTTAGACCAACTTTTTCAGACAGAAAAGTGAAAAAGAGAGGACCACCCTCAGCTTTCAGCCCAAAGCATCAAATAGGTCCTCTCAGGGCAAAATACTTTCACAAGACTTTCACAAGACGTTCACAAGACTTTTGAGACAAACAACAAATCAAAGATATTTTATCCCTTTTATATAATTGGAAAACACGTCATCTGTGCATTCAGTTTTCAACAAAAGATAATATTAAATACAGCATTCAGGGGTTGATAATGATATCTTGATATAAACTTGCGACCCCCATCTGATGCCTCCACCTTCGATAGATGATCACAAAAGGATCTTATTGATAGTCCATAATTTAATAGATTAATTATTGACAAATGTGTTGAAAAATAGCATGGTAGCCCTCAAAAATGTGTAATCACGTTTTAAAACAATAGAAATCTCTCTAAAAGGACAAATGTGATTAATACTGAGCCAGAGGAGCGACATTTGTGAAGCATTCAAGCGCCGTCCCAAGACTTTGTGACTGTAGGCGTGAGTCCCATAAATCATGGAGCTTAATCAAAACTCAATAACAAACCATTTTGCAACAGCTGACTGTGCAACAAGTGGTGATTACAAGACATCTGTCAGACCATTCCAGTCGCTTCTTACCACCGGAGCTGCCAAGAGTTCTGCAGAGACCAGTGACAGAGCTGTCCCTGTACCGAGGCTGTGTCCACTCTGAAGCATGGATCTATTATAATAACTGGATACACTGTAAAAAATACAACTCAAAATTGTTCACCTTACTGAGATTTTTGCATTCACTGACAATAAAATTGCCAGTTGGAACTGCAACTGTCTGTTGTGAGCCACTTGAACTCACTTTCAGAAATTTCTGATGAACAGTTCATCTTATTTGATATATTAAGTTGATTTTACTTTGAAGTTGTAGTGAACTTCTGAAAGTGAGTTCAAGTTGCTCACAACAGACAGTTCCAGTTCCAACTGGAAATGTTATTGTCAGTTAATGCAAAAAACTGAGTAAGGTGAACAATTTTGAGTTGTCGTTTTTACAGTTCACCGAGCTAGAGTGAGGTCAACTTATCTGTCTTACATTTTGAAAAAACGAATTTGACCACAAAAAATTATTGTATTTATTTTTACCAACCGTAATCGACAGCGCCAAGCCAAAGTAGCCCTATATATTCCCTGGGTCAGTCTTTGAGACATTAGTTTTCCACTAATCGGGTTCACAGTGTGTGCGGCACGGTGGCTGAGTGGATAGCACTCTCGCCTCTTGACACGAAGGTCCTGGGTTCAAATCCTGGTAGGAACAGGGCCTTTCTGAGTGGAATTTGGATGTTCTCTGTGTCTGCATAGGTTTCCTCCGGGTGCTCTGGTTTCCCCTACCCAAGTGACCTTGGTCTGTAAAATGCGCTATATAAATAAACATCAATATGAGGGCTAATTTAAACTCAAAATTGTAAATTCTTGTAGGGGATAGTAATTTGAACTTAAAAAAGTAAGTTTTTACAGACTTGAAATTTCCAGTAACTTGAGTTTAATTTTTTATTGGCAAAACTTGGAAAACTTAGCTGGCTCAAATTAATAAGTGTAGTTCTTCAAAACGTGAAGAATTAAGTTAATGCCTTCAACTCAAAAATCCTTCGCAGCTGGTTGCTTTGAAATTTTGAGTTGAACTAACTTTTTTTTTTTTACAGTGTAGGGTATTATAGCTTGTAGCTGAATAACTCATGTGCTCAGGGGATTCTCGCGGTACTGCAGACTGAACCAGACTAAATTCACGTGGGCTACCCAGAAATTTTCCCCATAGGACTCCATGCATATTAAAACAGCTCAACCTCAGCAGACAGAGAACCTACAGCTTTCATAAACGTCGGATTTTGTGGGGATTTTAGTGTCCCTTGTCATCCTGAACTTTTTTTCTTCTTAAATCCTTCGGTTTTGTTTAAATCCACACTTTAGTGGCACAAACTCTGCTCGTCTGGCTCTCGCTCTAACTCCCGCTCTGATGAACTGCTCTGATTGGTCAGAGCGCGGCGAGCCCCTCTGTGCACGTGCGTGAGACCCGGTGTGAGACCCACACACGCGTGTTTGACGCAACGCATTATGGGAGATCATCCACTGCACAGAACCGGGAGGACCAGACGATGCCCAAATACAGGCGAGTTTCTCATAGATCTTTGCGAGATCCAGGCGACTTCCGCTAATCTTTCAGCCCCCATGCCGTCACAAAGCGCCATTCATTTGAATAGGGCGCCATCTTGGATCGTCGGGGCTTGCTCTGAAGCTACAACTTTCTCCAATAATGTTTGCAGGACCGTCAATGTGCATGTGATTATAAATATACCTTTATTTTGAATTCCAGTTGGGAGTTTATGGTGTACATCATCTCAGTCCTCTCCATTGTGCGAGCTCCTTCGTTACACTTCCTCACCACCTGAACGCAAACAAATGTGCAGACCAGAGCGATATTACAAAACACACATCATCTAAATTTTATCTTATTTTAACTATTAACATAAAATGTTAGTGCTTTGTCAGTATTTCCGACTATACTCTGATGTCAGCCACACGTCTCTGGGCAGATGGTAAATTTGACCGGTAATTTGTGGCGTTAGAATGAGCCGATTTTTTCACTAGCTCAAGCAACATATTGTTTAAACGCAAAGAGAATTAGCATTTGTAATAATAATAATATGAATAATAATACATCAAACTTGTATAGCACTTTTTTGGACACATGGGTTCTGAGTACTGATGTAAAGTTTGGTAGTGATTCTGAGTTTCTGCGCAATTGAGATTAAACATATCCAGTGTAATTAGCAACGCTATCCAGTTAGCAGCTGTGTAATTGGAGGGGGTGCCAACAGAACCCTTCCATCTGGCCACACAAATTCAACAGTAAATGTCCATCCTTATCCACAGGTGAATAAAGAAGCCAAAAAGTGTTAGAAACTTGAGTATGCATGAAGTTAGATGTTACTTCCGTGCTATACTAAAGCCATGTGCCTTTTTACGCTGCTGACTCTTTGTCCGAGCGTGTGACATCAACTGTAAAGTGTGCTATCAGACTAATGTGTTTTCTACAATCACATTTGTAATTTATTTTCATGATTGATAAATATATAAAAGGTGTCATACTTTTTCAATCATTTCAGTTATGCATCCCTAGTAGATTGAGTCAATGTAAAAATACTAAATGTTAAATATCAAATGAAGTGAATTAATAATAAAAAACAATCACTACAGTTGCCCATGAACTTAAGCCCAGTGAGAGATTCTGACCTTGCTGACTGCTTGCAAAGCCTTTTTACAGTCTTCGTAATGTGTTGAATCCTTGGGCGTCTTCTGACAAATAGTCTGCAAATCAACAAACAGGTTGGGAAAAATAAAAGTTGTTACTATAATTCACTTTTATGTTTCATTTGGTACAAAATATATTCCATTTGTTCCTCGCCACATTAACAAGGGAGCGATAAAACACTTGTGGGAGCTTTGGAAGTGAAACTAAACTTTCTCATGGTCCAGAGTTTGTGACCTTCCACACATAAGCTCCAGTCTCTAGAGAGATACTTGTGACGGGACAGAGCAGAGAGGACCAGGGGGAGATGACTGGGGGGAGAGGACCAGGGGGAGAGGACTGGGGGGAGAGGACTGGGGGGGAGCAGAGGGAGAGGACCGGTAGTCGAGCCACAAGACACAGAAAGAATGATGTGAAATGTGCTTGCGCAACAACACTGGGCAGGGACGCTGGGATGGATCCAAAAAGTAACAGAACTACAGCTGGGGTACCATGCTTTTTTGTTTTTATAAATCATGCACTTTGTTTGGCCAAGAGAAAGAATCTTGCAAAAGTTAAATGAGCCCTTTGAGTCACTATTTGACGAGTTTATTACAAAGTTAGTGTTAAAGTAGGCTTCCCTAGATTCAAGGGCGTAGGTTTGCGTGGGGACCATGGGGACATGTCCCCACCAATATTTGGTGAGGACTAATAAGTCCCCACCAAAATGACATGATGTCCCGGGACCCGGACGGTCCGGGACACATGTCTTCCGTTTGTGCACACGTCGCGCCTCCTCCTCGCCTCCAGAGCAACAGCAGCAGCAGCAGCACGTGACCCGTTCCGTTCTCTGCAGTGATTGGCTGTCTTCTTCAGCGCCAAACTGAAGCACTGAGCGACTGTTTCATTTTTAAAAGTTAGCCAGCGTGAAGCAAGTGTTTTTTTTCGTTCCCTGAGCGTTGTAGCACGTGAGTAATCAGAGGAAAGTACTGTAGATCTATTACCATTCAAAGTACTTACGTTATTTCTAATCTGTCAGCGCACTGTTTAATGTTCCGAGGAGCTCACACGGCACAGAGACAGAACAGAACTGGCTCCAATAAAGAAACAGGTTGGTTGAAAGGCTGAGAAAATACTTATTGTGCTCTTACTATCCAAAATGTATAAGTGGGCGTGTTGTGTGAATCAGGATAAACTAGGGATGAAAATATTCCACGGATCCACGATTTACAACCTTTATCTGCTGATAATGTAATTTCTGTGAAATGTGTGACAGCGGGCACTTGCTGTTATTTGCTCTAAGCACATTCAAGCAATGCACTCGAATGTGCACGTCCTGGTGCAGCTGCTGCCGCTTTGTAATGACAGCCGCGGCGCTCAGTGAAAGCACAGCTCTAACATGGTACCGAGCTCGGACCATATGCAGACAGAACCATGTTGCAAGTGCGGGTCTCCCTCGTATCTCCCCCGTTTCTCCCCTGTGTCTCTGACATGTCTCTCCCCTGACTCTTCCCAAAGCGCAACCAGCGCTCCCGAAATTAAAGCTCGGATACGTAAATTTTCCATTGCGTTAACGATGCATGCTGGTTGTGCGCAAAACACACCACAACAGGTCATTTAAGTTTTTATTTTGCATACTTGAGAGCCCTGTGAGTCATTACTTGCCTTTTTGGGTAGAGAGTGGAATAAAAAAAAGAAAATATAGAAAAATCCACACTGTTACTTATTGCCAAACTCTTGTTAACTCATTGTATTGAGAAATACTATGTAACTTTTGACATTGGCCAAGTTATATAAATGATTCTGCAGTTCATGTATATGAATGTCTGTTTTTGATTGTCTATACCTTCTTATATAATTTAGAAAAAATGCCACCTCCACAAATAAGATAAAAGATATCAGGAGCTTTTTTAACAGTTGGAAAGTAAGTAAGAGAAAGCACAAGTAATAGCAAATTATGAATTCCATCCATCCATCCATTTTCTTCCCCTTAATCCATTTCTGGGTCGGGGGGGTGGCAGTCAGGGCTGCACCCAGTTCACAGAGCACCAGCCCCTCACTGATCCTCCTGCAGGTGGTGAGTCCACAGGAGCTGAGATCTTTCAGTTGGGGCTTCAGGCAAAGTGGGGTTAAGTGTCTTGCCCAAGGACACAACGACAGCAGTCATCAGTGGGAGTCGTGAAGTAGGTGTTATGGTGGGCTCGAACCCACGACCTTCAGGCCTACAGGCCAGTGCTCTACCAACTGAGCTACTCTCGCCCCTCAAATTATGAATTGTGATGATTAATCTTCTGTTAACATACATAACTGCTTCTCATTCAGTCTACAGCTGAGTTTAGTATAGAAGGCAACACACTATTGCAAATATAGTGTGTGATTACACAACAAATTCTGGGGGAGAAACTCTGGACCCCGTGTCAATGGGTGTAGACTCAGGTCGTAGTGAATGTCCCCACCAAGATTGGAACCAAACCTACACCATTGCCTAGATTTAAGGCACAGTGGTGGAATGCAACAAGACGCAGAAGTAAAATTACTATCTATGACCTCATTTGTTTGCTGAGAAGTTTAATATTTTACACAAACACATCTCAATGGCATAACGCAGGAGATTGACCCATAAATGTTGCAATGTTTTACTTAATCAACATTGGCATTTTGTTAGAATGTTTTTGCATTGGAACTGTTCACTGGGGACTTTTACTTCACTAGATTTTGTATTTTGCATTTGTACTTTTACTTAAGTTGTTCCACCACTGAAAGGGCAGGACAGTGTGGTCCAGTTGACCTCAGGCTGTTCAAACACTCAGTTGCATAAGAGCCAGTGGAATGAGGTGAATGCACTGACATCCATGAGGAGGGGCAGCCGGGTCACTCTCTGCATGGGGAGAATGAGGAACGAGATCATGGGGAGGTTCCTGCACTCCGGGTGGCTCTCGATCCTCGTCAGCACCTCCTTAAACACTGGACTCTTTGACCTGAAAGAAAGGAGACTGAACGTTATTGACCTAATAAGTCACAACTGTGCGGAGTGATAAAAGAGCCACAACAAATGGGTCTGAAACCAACGTGTGAAAGATTGGGGGTAAAGGGCGTCAAAAGCTTTGAAACTCAGATAATGATTGAAACATGAAAATACATTGAATATAATTCATAAAAACTAGTATCAAAACAACTTTTTTCATAATGTATCGGCACTTGAAAAAAGTGCAATAAGTGATATTCACTAATCTTTATTGAACTAGTATAAAACCGGGTGGTACCAACAAAAAATACTCTTATGTTGCATAAACAATGTCCAAAATATAAATATTTTTTCATGTGGTATTGAAATTAGTGTCTATTTCTAGTCTATTTCTTAGCATCGGAATCGAGTTTGTCATTTTTTTATTATGACATTGATATTGGGGTTACAGCTTTCATCTGACTTTTTAAAATTCTGACATTAGCAAAATTGTGTATCTTTGTGGAAATATTTAGTGACTTATTTTTTTATCTTACTATTTTTTAGACCTGCGATGCCTATGCTCATTTTCTTAATCATTGGACATCCCAAACGTGTCTTTGGCTCTTCAATTAAAGCTGGGGTAACTAACTTTCAAAACACAAAAAATTGATAAAATACATGAATAGTTCCTAGCTTTGGTTCCTTCTCTAATCTCTGTGTGTATATATTTTAGCCTCTGTTACATCCTTAGATCAACTTTTTTCGACGGAAAAGTGAGAAAGAGAGGCCCCTCCCTGACTCTACTAATCAGCCAACCAGCCCAAGTACACATTTTTTTTTTTTTTTTTATAATAACATACAGACAGCATGTTGTGCTCTGATTTACCTTACAAAAGTCTTTCTGCTGGGACAAACCAAACATATTTTCAAACAAACCAAACTATATGTGATGAATGCATTAAGAAGTGAGTGAGAGGCTAGGGTTAGGGTTGGGGTTCGGTCACTCACACAAGCCGCTGCAGAGTCCGCTGCTGATACACCTCATTGGAGCAGTACGTGATGTAGGGATCAAAGTTGGACTGAGCATGTTTGCCGACGATGTCACTGATGTCGGCGATGACTATGCTCTGCTGGTGCCTCTCCTCCAGCTCATTGAAAAACCTAAGGAGTCAGAAATGTGTGAATATTACTGCAACAATGCGAGCCAAAGTCAATGATGGTCGCGTCACGCTCACAGGGGACACATACAGTAGGACACAGCGACGGGCACAAAGTACGGAAACCAGGCAACTTTCCAAACACACTTCTACATCCCAGAGGAAGAAGGGCACATGGTTTAAATTCAGACAGCCACAACTTTGCAACTATCCTTTCCTCTTCCTGTACAACGCCAGATGGAAGCTTTAACAGCGCAACAAATGTCTCGCCTCAATGTCGTCTGCAAGCCAAATGACAACAGGAAATAGTCAAACACAACCTGAACAATGAACCTTGACTGCTGCTGTGTGATCATTATGAAGACATTTGTCATGGCCCACACGCAACAAGAGCAAAATGTAGGATGACAGAAGGAACCTCATGCTATCTGACCCAATGACGTTGCAGAAAAGCCTTTTGTTGATCTGTAAACTTTATATTCTAAAAGGAGTAATGGTATTTGGAAAGGTCAAGGAGGCGGAGAAGTTCATCTGCTGACAAATTGCAACATGAAAAATTGTGGATTTGTTTAAACTTTCTCCCATAGCTACGCTGTCTCTATGTTTGCCCTGCACAGAGGTAAACCTGCTTACAAACCCATGACCAACCTCACAGTCAAACATACTTAATTACAGCAGGCTGAAAAACCAGTATTACATTCTATTGAATATTTGAGAAAACCACTCCATATCAACAAAGCACACTGCATGTAGCCTCAGACCAGAATGACTCTTGTCCATCCAATAGCGTTTATTATGACCTGTGCTCACTTTTTGCTGGCCTCGCAGACGTCCGTGATGTTGGAGAAGAGGTGGTGGTGTTCGGTCTTGGTCATAGCCTCACTCAGCTCTGCAGAGTTCTTGAACATGCGGATCAGGATCTCCAGACTGTGGAGGTACGAGTGCTCGGACGAGATCACCTCAAAGATGGCCTGTGGAAAGATTTGGACATGTTTGAATTGAAATGTTGTTCTTGTTTTCAGTTCATGCATTTGCTGAATGTGTTCCTGGATTTTCTCTTTGTTCATCATGTTTAATGTCTACCTTTGGACATTATAGTAAAGTAGTGAAATAGAGGATGATTATTCAGTAGCTGTGTCAGGTCCGTACAATACATTTATAACATAATGTCCCTCAGATCAGATCAGATCAGATTCAGATTCAGATACTGATTCATTTATTTACCATTTGCAGTAAAACCACATCGGAATACATTTGCAAAAGTCTCTAGTGTGCACAAGACAAGTACATTCAACAAAATCATATAAATAAATATAAATTACGGATGATTCCCATCCACGAGCATTGGCCTTAAGGCCAGAAGGTCGTGGGTTCATTTCCCACCTCTGCACCTTCTCCACCGACTCCCACTGATGACTGCTGTCGTTGTGTCCTTGGGCAAGACCCCACTTTGCCCAAAGCCCCCACTGAAAGATCAAGGCTATGCTCACACTCAGAGAGCAGCCGTCCTCCTGTGGACTCACCACCTGCAGAGGGTCAGTGAGGGGCTGGTGCTATGAGACTTGGGTGGCATCTCTGACTGCCACCCCCCTGACCCAGAAATGGATTAAAGGGTAGAAAATGGATGGATGGATGGATGATTCCCATTATTTTAATCAACGTGAATGTCCGTCAATTGCCTAAAGTATGACAAGTACTAAAATAAATGGCATATGAATAAATATAAATTATGGATAATTCCCATTATTTGAATCAGTCTGAAAGTCCGTCAATTGCCTGAAATTGACGGAAATTCAATGACCACCGGATCAGTCTGTGATTTGGGCTTTTAAGTGTTGAGAGAAACAAAAGTGGATTATGGTCAGTGTACACAGTTATCAGACCACCCCCATTCAAGTAAAAGTCAAAATGCTTGAATGCCACCGCAATACTATACTATACTTAAATTAATTTGCTTTTAAAATTGATGTTCTCTGATATCATGGGGGCCTAAGCAACTGCTTTGCCCACTTGTTAGGGCCAACCCTGGCTATTTGTTTAACACTTCTTTAAAAAGTGCTATACCCATATGGACAATGAATACACCAACTTGTGCCTGACCTACTTACCATAACGACACTGTCAATACTAGATCTGTGCAAGAATAAACGTCACGCCCATGAATCTTTCAATGACTATTAGACTGCCAATTACAGCACTTACAGCCAGGTTTATGAGTCTCCCCTCCTCTGAGACTTAACAATGCCTGTGCCTTTCATTTTACTGGGTGAGTAAACATAATAGCCAAAAATGTTAATGCTTTCTACAAATCTTTTTGACTTAATGGGGTCCAAATAAATGTAAGATATTATTTCTACCTCTTGCCTCTTGCGTTCCTCTTGGCTCAAGCGCTTCGATAGGCCACTTTTCTTTACCTAAACAGAAACAGAAAAAAGTCAATTCACGTTAATTTAGATTTTGGCAACCTTGGCAGACTTTTTAAGGTCAGGAGTTCTTGCATTTATAGTACAGTAAAGGGGTGTGCACAAGTCTGGCTGCCAGTTGTCTCCATGCACAAAGAAAGAAAACTCTCAGCATTCCGCACAATTCAAGGCCCATTTTAGTGCTTCTACAAAACAGGCACTAAATAATACGCTGAATAATTACACCCTGATATTTTGGGAAGAAATAACGAAGTCAACTCGCCCAACATACATTAAAAATATTTCAAATGCACTATTCCTACAGCTTTGGTACATAACCCTTTTCACATAAATTATACATTTTGTTCATCCCACAAGAAAGCTTAAAATCAGACCAAAACAGTCTATCTTTGTCTAATTAAAAAACATATTATCAGTTGTATTCTTGAGAGAACGAGCCCTGTGCATCATTATTGGACCACTTTCGCCTGCAGAGCTGATAGAGTGAGGGTGAATCTCTCTTCTTCACTTTTATGTCTGAAAAAGCTGATTTAAATAAGTGACAGAGGCCAACAATCCATGGGAAAACTATGTGATTGAACCAAACTGCTTTGAGAGATCACATTGAAAACATTGCTTTGAAACATAGGTATACCCCAGCTTTAAACTAGCTTCACATTCACACACACCAAAACTAAAGGGGGAAAAGCAGCAACAAGTGAAAAAAGTTGAATGTGCAGAGTTAATACAACAGTGGTGTTTTTGTAATTATGCAAAGCAATGGTCTTAAAAAATGAGTCTAGTCTCCTGGATGCATTTATGTTTTAGAACAAGGAGAAAAACCTGCTGGACATTCACTCTATCACGGGAACAGCACTCCACAAATAAAAACGCAACAAACCAAACAGTTCTTGCCGTCTGTAAACAAAGTCCGCTCCTTCCCCTACAGTAAAGTACATCCGTGCCAACCTCCCTGACCTTTATTCCCTTTTAATTACCGGGTGTGCTCTTGATCCCATTCACTAGACTGCGACATAGTTAGGTCGATAGTTGTCCCAAGAACAGACAAATCGGATGCTAGATTGAAAGCAACATGATGTCATCGCACAGGTTGACAGGTGAAAAGAAGTGGAAGGACAAAGTGTCAAAGGGCTTGTCACTAAAGTAAAGTCATGCATCTTAACCAGCTCGTCTGGTTTGAGATTCCGCAAACCTTGACGAGGGCATGTGAGAGGGTCTAAACACAGACAGAACCAGGATCCTTTCATATGAATGGTTAATAATTTTTGTTTTTTCTCTCGCCATAGCCAAAAGACAAGCAAAGTGAATAACTGAATATGCTCACTGTGCTGTATCAGATTTCCAAGTGTTATAACAGCTTCATAATGATTATACACTGCGCTGGACAGTCTATAGATTGGCTAGGACTGACTGTATACGCTATAATGCATTGTCCTTTTATGTATTCCTATTTCTTTTATTTTTTTGTATGGACCATTTTATCTTGAGTCTGAAATAAAGATTAAAAAAAAATGAAAACAGCCATTGACTTCTGTTTGCTGATCTAAAACTGTTGAACTGGATACTCCTCAGCTTCAGAGAAATTGCGTCTTTTTAACAAGCAAAAAGTGCTTGATCTATAAAAAGAGCAAAACACAACTTTGAGCCTAGAATATGGGATACAAAAAAAGTCTAAAGTCTTGAACATGGTTTTGCGCATTCTATTTTAAATCTAAATACGATATAACATGAACTTTCTGCTCTTGTCTTTCCCTTTACGCAACCATGCCATGCCGAATGCTCGTCTGGAGGCTCTGTTTGTGTCCTGGCACTATTCCCAGGAGCTCTTCCAAGACTTCCTGTAGGCTGCCTGCCTCCGTGCCCGACACACTCCTAGACTTCAGACTCCCATCATAAACTCCCTGATAAACAGTGAGGGGGCAGAGGAAAAGAAGCTATACTGTGAACTATGGGAGGATGGTTGTGCGGTAAAGCATGGTCAAACTGGAGACTGCAGCATTCCATGGATCAGCAGCATTCCAGTGGAAAGAAACAAGTGCGTACTGTATATGCTGTATAGTGGTAATCGTAGTCTTATTGTGTGACATCAATGTGTGTGTGTGTTTGTGTGTTGACTGACCACGCTGAGCTGGCTCCAGGAGGTGCGTAAGGGCTTGTACTGCACCACGATGTTGTTGTCAGGTTTGGGCTCCCGGGAATCAGCGTCCTCATCTGAGTCGTTATGCAAGGCCTTTTCCTGATAGTTTTGGTACAACTCCTCCTCTGCATTTTTCACATACACAAAACAATTGAAATACTTGCTGTCAAGGCAACAATTTTATTATGGAATTATTATGGAAATGCATGTTACTCTAGTGCTAAATATTCTGCCTCTCCTGAAACAAGATAGTATTCATATCGACCTTCTCAATATTCCCAAAATTCTACCAAACCTTCATGTCTGCAAAACACTAAGGGCCTCATTTATCAATCCAGGCAATCTTCAGGTGCTAAAAGTTAATAGTTTAGTTCTATCCAACATGTTTAAAGGGTGGTTATCAGTTTTGAATGTGAGAAGTGTTTGCTAACTGGGGCTAAAATGTTCCTCACTGGAAGCAAAGCACACCTAAACCTGGTACGGAAAACATTTTACCTACAAAGTACACATCTTGAAGAATTTACAAAAAATATGTAATTAAACGTCACAGTTTGAGAAACAATGGAATTACATTTCTCACCTTCACTATCAAATGTGCTCTGGCTGGCCAGTACATTCTTCTTCTCTGGACTTATCTATAGAAGAATAAACACATAGAATATTAATAATTGACTATAATTTTATCAACAGCACTAAAGCATTAAAGTAACACACCTTATATTTTCCTATCCCCAGTGGCTTATCGCTCACAGGACTGGATGGTTTAGTTGTCTTAGGGCTAACATTTGCATTTAATGCAGATTTGTTAGCCCCAAAGAAATTTGGAGTAGCCGGAGAACCAGTCGGTGAAGAAGTCTTCTCGTTGTGTATTCCTTTGACAGGTTGAGTGAGTTGTAAACTTTTAGGATCTCCAGAGACATTATCCACTTCATCCATGACTACAGCCTTTCTGTAGGAAGTGCTCCTCAGACCCCTCCTCAAAGTTCCAGGACTGTCTCCATCCCCCTCTCCATGCCTCTGCGACCCTGTAGAAAAGTAAGCTCCAGTTTCCAACATGCTCAGGGCTTTTGTTGACCGTTTGGAGTGGTCCAGCCCCAGCAGACTGGCTAGTCCTTGTCCCTGTGTCGCCCCCGGAGATGCCACTTTGCTCTGCCGCACTTCACAAGCCAAACCTTTGGGGATGAGCTGCTGCGTTCCCATTTTCCGAGCAGCCGGACTGTTGGTGCTGAGGACAATGGGTGGCTGGGGCGAGATGGACGGAGAGGTAGAACAAGATGAGGAATGACGTGATTCAGTCACAGAGCATTTGCTTTGTGTCCTCTCTGGGGAGGACGAGCGTGGGGTTGGGGGGTCCGAGGAGTTGAGAGAGGACAGTGATGGGATGCTGGACGTAGAGCTGTGGGACGGGGTGGGGGTTCGACTGAGCGGAGAGGAGTTGAATGATGAAGATGACAGTTCATGAAAGCTGTTGCCATTTGGAGTTTGTGGAGGAGAGAAAGAAGAGTGGTCAGATGTCCTAAATTCATCTTTCTGTGAGTTCAGACTTAGTTGGCCGGATAGCCTCTTCTTTTCAGGCCATACTGTCATACCATTACTATATTTCCCTTTGTCAGATGCCCTATTGTAAATCCTATTGTCCAGGGAGGCAGATTTATTATCCTCAGACCTAAATTTGGGAAGTGAAAATCGTCCATTGGAAAAGTGCCCAATGCTGATGCTCCGAACAACACGGTTCTTTTTAGCAGGTTTGTTGAGAACATGTTTGAGCACTGCAGTGTTGGGAGTGGGGGTCACCAGTACTTTTTCAGGCTGGCTCACACTGAAGGAGCTCTTGTCCTCCACTGGGAAGTCAGTCGTCATGACCCCATTGATGTGATAGCTGACCGGTCGTGGTTTAGGGTTTCGCAAGATCTGGGGACCTGTGCCGTTTTCTGTGCGCCTTCTCCACAAAGGGGTAATGTTGTTGTTAGACAAATCCACATCATTGCCAAAATCCATGTTCTCTGTCACGGTTTGGTCCTGAGCAGAGCAAGTCCTGCACACATAAGCAGAAAAAGGCAAATCAGTCACAAGAGCTTAGTGTTGAATCTCCTTATCACTCAATGTTTACTGATTAACCTGATGAAACATGATGACAACACAGCAGCTTCAGCAAGTGCGCAAACAAGTGCTCAAAACAATGGGAGACTTATGCATTGTATTGTGAATGCTCAATCATGTAAAACGACCCAATTACGGGAAAACCGTCGCCACTATTCAACCAGTGCTTTTTTACACAAAAGGATAGATATTTTATGTAGAATTTTAATATGGGGTTTAAAGTCCACATGCCAGAATTGAAAAATATAAATACGTTAATGAAAAGTTTTCCTACCTCTATTCAGTGGGTTTCCCATAGAGTGTTGCCTTTTCTCGGTGCCGTGAACATGACATGACGATACTAGATGACTGGGGCTCTTCGGGGGAACGGGCAGGGACCGAAATGCACCGCGCACAGAGTGGAGCGCGTCTGAAGCGCTGCTGGTGCGCGCACAAACTTCCCTCAAACACAAACAGGAGGAGGAGAAAAGAGGAGGAGTGATCCATGAGGCCACGGAGCCCGGGTTCAGGCTATGGTTCACTCGGGAACTTCACCTGCCAGCAGCCAACGAGGTATGCACCATCAGAGTTTACACAGAGTTTTCATCAACAACCTAATGTCTGCCGCATTTGTAAAACATGACACAAGAATAAAAACAGCACTGAAGGTGACTTTTCTACGACGCTGGGGTGCCTAACTTGTTTTGTTTAATAAATATATTATGTATATTGTACCAGCAGAAACGGTCTTGTAAAAGTCATGCTGTCTTCTTATTTTGAAATATATTTGGCACACTTAAGAAAGAGCCTTGAAAGCCTTGAATCTTTGGGCTGGCAGCTGGGAGAGGGTGGTCCTTTCTGAACTAATCAGTTTATTTCTGAAACTAAAGATTCAGAAAGAAACTGATTTATTAGATCCCTGCCTATTATGATTATAACAATACCAATTAAAAACGTCACCGTTTGTTTTTTAACTTCATAGAAGCGAAGTTGTTCTGTTACACAAAGCCAATGCTATTGTGAAATTAAATTTCTGTGGTTTAATCCTTGTGTCAGGGGAAATATACCAGTCATTGTGAAACCGAGTTGTTTTCAAGTGACATAATAAAAAGGTTGCTTACTGTGAGGTGGCGATTAGGATACTCATGCACGTTGTATGTTGTGAGTGTTGCGCCCTCATGTGTTTATTCAACGTAAGTGAAAGACAGATTCCATAATCTTATTATTATGATTTATTTAGGCAGTCATTGAATCTTTTTGATTTCCTTCCATGTGTTTTAAATATGTAGTCTTTGAGCTCTCGGTCTTGATTTTAAAGGTCCTTTAAAATATCCTCAGTCTACTCAAAGTATTTGCGTCTCTGTCGCCCTCTAGTGGAAGAGAGAAAGATCGTGTGGCGCTGTTAGTTTTCAGCAGTTTTCAGTTATTGTTGTATCGCTCAAAGCCAAATTCACCTTTTTCTTTATCATGGCGAAAGTGTTCACATAGAGAAAGCTTACCATGTTGATTGTGTTGAACAAAAAACATTTATGAAATAAATTCCTCGCCCACATTGCTGCTAATGGTTGACCTTCTGTTAAGGAGAGCTTCTCCTCGTTTTTAAGGACTCTGATTTTCCTACTCCTACTGATAGATCAAGGCTATTCTCACACTCAGAGAGCAGCCGTCCTCCTGTGGACTCACCACCTGCAGAGGGTCAGTGAGGGGCTGGTGCTATGAGACTTGGGTGGCATCTCTGACTGCCACCCCCCTGACCCAGAAATGGATTAAAGGGAAGAAAATGGATGGATGGATGGATGGATTTTCCTACTCAAGCGGAACAAGCTCTGCTCGTGATCACTAAACAATGAGTGAACAGCGCCCTGCTCTGGCTGAATTGTGCCATGGCGTGAATTTATTAAGCACAATTTCCATACGTTTTAAAACACAACTCTCGCTAACACATGTAAGGCTGATGAATACAGGTGTTTTCTGATGTATTCAGGATGATGATGTGGGCTGTTCGGGCTGAGATACCAGCTTCATGCTGAGATCTCAAAGCTCTCATACTTAAGTTTCCATGCTAAAAGGGCTGATGAAGGAAGTCTGGAGTTTCCTTTCCTTACTGTTCCTTGCCATGATTGCCCAATTTGTATTCTCCTTTTCATGGCAGTCGGAACACCGGTTTCCGGGTCATCGATAAGAAATTTCCTTGATGCAATTACGATATTTGGATGGACTGCTGGACTGGCCTTTCTGCAAGTGTGGTTCTCCCATGGATCTATTATAATAACTCTCCCCTCTGTCTCAGAGCGTATTTTAGTCAGCTGTAACTGTGCCTGTACAGTACCCGGCCCCCCTCCCCTTTTGCATCACTGCCACCCACACATTTCACGAATATATCGGAAAATCTCCACTGGATAAGATCGTAAACACAGAAATTACATGAAAATGATACCATGCGTAAAGGATCTTTGCCTTTGGCCTGTTTTACGTATGCAATCAAATGCATATGGAGCTTCAAGGGTGGCATCTGTCACATGCATTTGAACCTGTGCTAATCACCATGGTTACGAGAAGTCTGTGCTGATTGGCTGCCAGCAGTGACCCATGAGTGACTCCCCCTGTGGGACGATAGTGCTATTGTGTCACACATTTGTATTAAGTTTATATATGCAAACTACTACTTTGAAATAACTTACTTCTAAAATATAGTTGTAGAGTAGCTCATGGTGTATATATGCTAAAAAATTTGCTCAATGTATTATTTTCATGGCTAATGGCTAAATAATATATATATATATATATTTATATATTTATTATTATTATTATTGTTTTTTTTTTTTTTATTCAGTTTTTTTACGTTAAAACATATTTGTAGATTTTGATGAAATAAGGCTGGTTATATTGACAGTGTAAAAGACGACAAAAGATCAGAGGAACAGTCAGATTCCTCTCAGGAGCTGCATGTTGCAAGCAAAGGCTGTGTGTTCTGCCACAAAAGACACACGCTGAAATGGAAAGGACAATCAGTTATGGTGATACTTCTGTATGGGAGAAAACGTAATATGATTTTGAAATGAGCAGAGAAAGGCAATCTCCCAGTATTTTAGTGTTTGTCAACCGCCCCCACCATTTCCTCCAGGGCTCCTGACTCATTCTGATCCAGCTTGTCCCCCTCTCCAATCAACTGCACCCACAACCACCGCAAACAAACACCAAGTGCTTAGCTGGCCTTCTATTCAGCCAACGTGAAATGTGCCAGTGAACATGAACACTGAGACAGATTATGCCTCTCAGAACCTGGGCTTTTCTGTGGGGCAGCTGTGGGAATTTCCCCTTGTGTGGTGTTGTTTATTCATTGTCAGCTGTGTCAGTTGTAAGAGCTTTGATATCATGACTTAAACAGTGAGAAAAGAAACACTCAAATGGCACGAGGCATGACACTGAACTTCAGTAGAGAAAGTAACCCAAAAAAGTGGGCTTCTTTGTGGGTGTCAGCAAGCATACCCCTGCAATTTGGATGCAGATAATGTCTTTAGATTGACTTTGTTTGTTTCACTTGTTTTGTCGAGACATATCTTCAACATGGTATCAGTAATTATGAACAATTGCAGACTCCTGAGGCTTCCCAACAACAAAAGTCGTCCCAGGGCTCTCCATTTACACATATCATGTGACAGATTAAGAATGGACGCACACTTTACCTCGTAGAAAACACTGCACAGGCATTTAACCACATCATACTTTTGAAATACACCAATATTTACATTTTCGGTAGTTGTGATTTTATATGATACTACAAATTTCACCATGTGTATTGCATTCTGTCTGAAACCAGGAATTAAATTCAATAATGATCAAATTGTTTTCTACTCTTAAAATTCTGTGTATGGAGAGAAGGATGAGTTGAACCTCCCTTCTCACTTTTAGAGTTAGGAAGCTGCAGGGTCTACACAAAACAGATGTGCACAGACTGTGTGACAGATAAGGTCAGACTTAGGATGTGTTGTGTATGAATCCATCCAGAAGAGGTGGATAAAGTCCTGTCAATGAAGCGTCTGCTCTATTCTTTGAGACTTGCTCTGACGCTGGCTGTCACTCAAAGATGCTCTGGGATAGATCACTGTCCGTCTCCCCACCCACACTTCACACACCGCCATAAATCCACTTTTCTCACAGCAAAAGAAATCTCTATGAGTGACAGCCTATTCTCCACACTGTTATTTTTCTACATTTATCAATAACACAATCAATCTCTAAAGGAAAGCAGAATCTGACATTAAATCAACGTTTGTGTTTCATACATATACATACATCTAAACATGAAAAATGTGAAAGAACAACACAAATTAGATGACAATTGTGAAATGGACACAAAATAATACATTCTTTCAATGTTCTGGAATGAAATAAGTAATTTGGACAGTTTGAAGTGGGCGTCTTCATGGTATCCACCTCCACATTGCGGGTTTGGATGTTGATATTGTCTATAGAAATGACATAAAGGCTGTTGTTGTTTTGGAGCCACAGAGATATAGCTCCACATTTTCACAGGGTCTTGAAAGTCTTAAGTATGGAGTTTTGAAACACTGTTTTCCAGACCTTGAAAAGTCTTGAATTTTGTGTGAAAGTCTTAATAAATTATGGGGAAAAAATGTATGGTTAAAAAAATTGACATTTCTAATAAACACAGTTGGTACAATCTCGACCAATGAAGTAGACAGTAGGCACACAAGTGTACAAGTACATAAAGATAAGGTCTTGGGAAAAATAATATCAGTTTCATCAAAAAAAGTCTGGAATTTTAATTTGGAAAAAAAGCAAGAACCCTTTTTCATGACTGCACTCCGCAGGTCAGGGCCGTAGGATCTAATCTCAGATTACAATCTCAAGTAAATATTATCTGTCTTCTAGATAAGATTAAAATCAGAGAGTCCCCTCGCATGCTCAAATCTCATGTCTGTATGAATATCTCATCGACAGTGTCAAAAGCAGCACTCGGATATGACAGGATTAAGACCGAGACTTTGCTTGCATCAGTGTTCAGCCACTGGTTTGTCACCTTGAAATAGTAAGTAAGTAAGTAATCTTTATTTATATACCGCCTTTCACAAAGCGGTTTACATATGCAGCCAGCGAAAGTTCAATTTGGTAGACGTCAGCCAAAGGTAACCCCTCCAGGCCGGTTCTCATCCCCAGCCTATCGCGCTGCAAACGCCCCTTCCAATCACCGCACCGGCCAGGCAAGCCGCTTAAAAGCGGAGAAACTCCCATTCTCTGCCTTCTCGAAGCCTGCACTTCTCGAAGCCTCGCAAGCCCTCGAAGCCTTGCAGAGAATCGTCTGGAGGAATCTTTTTCGTCTACTCACGCTACTCGGCGCGACCCTGGCGTCCTCCGTCTGGCTGCTTGTGGTCTGGTCCCTGCACTGGTCTGCTCCTCTTCCACGTCCCTGCACCGGCTGTGGTTCGCATATCTCCTGCTCTCCTCCTCTGCGGGCTCTTTCTGCGGGCTGCTCCGCGGGGCCCTCCGCGGGTTTCGTGCGGCTCGTTCCTCGTGGTCTGCTGCCGCACGCAGAAGGTCTGGCGGTGCCGTGCGTGTCCCTGCCTCGATTGGCGGTGCCGCGTTGTCCCGTTGCTTTTCCCAAGTCTCCTGGCATGTGAGTACAGTGAGTGTGCTGACCGCGGACAGATTAATCCCGGAGTTTGGGCTGCAGGCGATTGGTTTTTGCCCCGCGCTCTTGACTGCAGGCGCCAGTTTTTTCGCCCCGTGCTTGGTCTGCAGGCTCCGTTTCACATGTGTTTGAGCTAACTGAGGGGCAATGCATATTAAATGGCATCAATCTCTATCGTCTGAGGGATATAAGAGGAGCAAAGTGCATTAATTCAGATTCATGTTCTGCCACTTGCAGTAAAACCATGCATTTAAATAGCTAGCTCGCTGGTATTAAATTAGGTAACTAACTGCAGTTGTTGCATTTGAAAGTGCAGCAGAAAGAAAAAGGGCCCAAGGTGAATCTGCAATGGGTGTGAAGTGGTGTTGGAGCTATGAACGCATGGATCAGTGATCGTTCATGCGTATCTGCCATAACCAAAGCAGCCGCTGCCGCTCCGCAGGCTCCCAGGCTGCACCTGTCTCTACGGCTCGGCTCCTTCAGACGCGTACGTAACCTGGCTCACGGAGTCAAGCGGCGCACGCTGGCGTGACACGTCTGTTTGTTCGTATGAATCGCATCGTGGTGCTGCTGCTCCCGCTAATGCTGCTTCATACTGCTGCCGCTACTGCTGCTACTGCTGCCGCTGCTGCTTCATACTGCTACTGCTGCCGTGCTGCTGCTGCTTCATGTACTTTGTCTTCTCTCCTCACTTCGCTTCTCTTTCTGAAACACTAAACAGCTTCAACATATCCTACCGCTGTGGCTTCGATACAGGTTTTTCGCCGTTGTTATCTACGGATTCTGCTGCTGCCGCGGCTTGATACAGGATTGTTGCGTTATTATCCGAGGTTACTGCTGCTGCTACTGCTACTGCTGCAACCCACTCTCTCAGAAGCTTATCCTGCTTCTAATGGATGCAGCCCGGCCGAGCATGCCGCGCTGCGCTGGACTCGCACCTATGCTCCCAGGGTCGCTTTGGCGGTCATGCTTCATCTCTACTTAATCTTCTGATTCTATCAGATGCAGCTGGCCGAGTGGCTGCGCTGAGCCGTCAATCGGACTCCTAATCAAAGGCATCCACACCTGTATTCTTCACTCTTCTGATCGCAGGCTCCCCATCATGCTGCCCATCCTGCAGCGGCTCTGAGCGGCACTGAACTCCGGCTCTTCTTCCAAGTACACGTCTGCCCTCCTCGCAGCATCTTCCTGCTCGCCTTCTGTGGCTTCTCTGCATAAGCGAGTTCACTACTGCTCACTCACCCTTCAGGCGGTCCGAGACACGGCTTTCCCGACCATCCTCCTATCCTGATTATCTACTCTCCAACCCAAGATTCTAAGCGTAAGGGCGCCTGCAACTTCAATGGCCCTCTCCGATTGTCTCTGCCCCTACAGGTCTCCGCTTCTACACGGACGTGGCCCTTCCGTGGGTTTTGGGGGTTTTTTCCAGGACCATTGGGTTGCTGGGCCGTGGCCGCTACTTTCCACCGGAGCATCTCCTCTGCCCTACACGAGATATTCCCAGTGGTCGTGGCCTGCGCGCGGCGGAATCACACCTGGCAGAGAAAGAGGATCTCCGTCATGCGTGATAATCTCTACTTCCAGGAGTTCCAACGCCTCTGCCCTTCTGCCCACCCATCACCATGCCAGATCCCCTGCATGGAATCCCTCGCCCTGGACTAGTCCCTCCGTCTCTTCACCTCCTCATCTCCTCCGCTGCATCCTACATGAAAATGGGTCTCTCACCTTCCACACTGAAATCATACAGTTTCGCGTGGAAAGCCTACTCCAGCTTCTGTCACGCCCACTGCATTCCACTCATTCCGCCCTCTGCTGTCACGATCCATGATGCATTACACTCGCCTCCGCTCTCGGAAAGGAGATCTCAACGGACCGTCATTTCTTACCCCTGATAACCTCCCTATGTCCCCCAACTGGTTCAGAGCCCAACTCAAGTACGTACTGCTGCTTTGTAATCTGTCTCCCCATCTCTACACAGCCCACTCCTCTCGGATAGGCGCCGCCACGCGCGCCGCGTCGCTGGGGCTCCCCCATTCCGCCCTTCAGCAGCTGGGCCGCTGGTCATCATCGGCCCTCTCCTCATACATCAGGCCTGACACCTCGACCATCCTGGCAGCCCAGCGGCTTTTTGCATCTCCATAAAACACTCGCTAAACTCCTGGTGGCGGCTGCAGCTGAGTATCCGCAAGTTTGGTCACAGCAAATAGCGGTCACAGTATATAGCGATAGCGGTCACAGTATATAGCGATAGCGGTCACAGTATATAGCGATAGCGGTCACAGTATATAGCGATAGCGGTCACAGCATATAGCGATAGCGGTCACAGTATATAGCGATAGCGGTCACAGTATATAGCGATAGCGGTCACAGTATATAGCGATAGCGGTCACAGTATATAGCGATAGCGGTCACAGTATATAGCGATAGCGGTCACAGCATATAGCGATAGCGGTCACAGCATATAGCGATAGCGGTCACAGCATATAGCGATAGCGGTCACAGCATAGAGTAGTCTCGTCGTTCTGTCCCCTCCAAACCAGGCTGCAAAAAACTCCATCAACACAGCTTTTTGGGGATTGGCACGCTCCTTCGCATGGAGGCCCTCCGGCCTAGGGCGCCAAAACCTCCTCCTCCTAAATAAAATACTCCAAAAGCTTCTTGTTTCACGTCTCTCCAAATTGAAATGCAGCCAGCGAAAGTTCAATTTGGTAGACGTCAGCCAAAGGTAACCCCTCCAGGCCGGTTCTCATCCCCAGCCTATCGCGCTGCAAACGCCCCTTCCAATCACCGCACCGGCCAGGCAAGCCGCTTAAAAGCGGAGAAACTCCCATTCTCGGCCTTCTCGAAGCCTGCAACCACCGCCTCCCCTCTTCACCCTGCCTTCAATCCGCCTTCAATCTGCTTCCCGCTGCCAAATGCCGCCACCAGTGCCTAGGTCCCGGGGGATTGGCACGCTCCTTCGCATGGAGGCCCTCCGCTCTGAAGGCCGCACCGGGGCCTAGGGCGCCAAAACCTCCTCCTAAATAAAATACTCAAAAGCTTCTTGTTTCACGTCTCTCCAAATTGAATTGTTATTTTTGGGTATTTGTCTCTCACTCCACACAGAGATGGGAGTGGGGTCTCAAAGTACATTTGAGAGCGGTGATAATTAATATAAGATCAACTTTATTCATCTCACAATGGAGAAATGTACATGTCAGATAGAATCACTCAGATTGTACAAAAGACAGTGTGCAAAATGTTAAAGATTGAAAATATAGTCTGTGCAGGATAAATTATGTGCAATAAAAAGTGGCAATAGCAGTGCTGGTTCGTTCGTCCTAGTGCTGGTTCTTCAGTCCTAGTGCTGGTTCTTTAATCGTAGTGCTGGTTCTTCAGTCCTAGTGCTGGTTCTTCAGTCCCAGTGCAGATCATTAGTTACTTAAAGTGACTTATTGTACAGTCTGACAGCGGTGGGGATGAAGGCCCTGCGGTGGCGCTCCCTCTTGCACTGTTGGTCTAATTGTTAAGTTTATGGGTTCGAGACTGCTATTCTGACTGTACTGTATATGCTCATGAAAAGTGTTTTATCTGTGTGAGTGAAGTGCTGCCTCCCCACCAATAACAATCAGGTGGTTTCTGGATTGTTATCAGTGTTGTAGAATATATTGCCTTTTAATGCCTTGTACCTTGAAAAAGTATGTTTTTTTTTCTTGTTTGTAATTTATCCTACATTTGTCTGTTTGTTTATGACTGTTTTTTTTGTTTGTTGTGAAAATAATATACATTTTTGTATCTTATTCTGTTTTTCAGAAAAGGTAGATTAAACAAACAACCTCTGGTGCACAGACATTATCAAAGCCAGCGCTGAACTGAATGCAACAAAGCGGAAATATTGTTGGCTCTACAACGAGGATGTTGTGGAGGGTCCTGTGGGACCAGAGTCCATGAGATGTGATGAAGAGGCTCCATACTGTTTTGAAAAAGTCATTTGCCAAATGATGATTTCCGTCACAGCCCGACTTTGGTGTCATTGCAGTGCACGTGGCAGTGGGGATATCATCCCAGGTCCTGCTCGAAAGAGACAAATTGTCTCTAAACAAAGGGAAAACCAATAAATTATCCAGTATGTGTGAGATGGCTGTTATGAGAAAAAAGAAAATCTGAATTTGTAAAATGCATCATCATAACTTTTCACCTTCGAACAGCAAAAACAACTACTAGATTCATCAAATTATAACATTGGCCTTCTATAAAGTATTTCCAACTCAATAGCAGGGTAGTCCATTTGACTTCATCAGATCAAGCTCGTTCTGGATCCTTGAGTTCTTCAATTTCACGATGAAATGAGTGCACCTGCTTAGGGGTTTTGAGCAACTGTCATAAGCCAACAGCAAACAATATTGATCCTAACAAAACTGAGAAACAGGGCTTGCCAAATAAACCACTACATCTGACAACAAGGAAGCCAAGGAAAAGACTAAGACCTAAACGCCAGTAAGACCTGAAAGTCACTAAATTATCTCAAACAATTCTATCTGTGGCCATTTCTGTGTTTAGATGTAGCTATTGGTCATATTGTTCTCAGCACTGATCCACGCAAAACACATCTCACACCAGCTTGATATAAGAATGACATAGGCATACTTAAATAGAATCTCTAAGTCATTATTTTTGAAATCCTCTTTTTCTCTCTCAATGTAAGGTGCGATGAAACGCCAGAGGGTTTTGAGCAGTCTATTTTCTGTGCTCCCACACACGGTGAGTCAGCCTGGATACTGTGCTCTTAACCCTTCCTGTTGGTGCTTCTACACAGATGCACATAGAGAGAAGGCTGCGCTGCCAGACAATGACCCCTGTTATGATTGCACTACCAGCCGAGGTATTCACTTCTGAAAGCAGCGCTGGACTCACGGGGGGCTCTGGAACTGGACAAGTGCGAGTCGTGATCAGCCTGTGTTTGTCTGGAGGTGATACAAATGTGTGGAGAAAAAAGCTTATGTAAGACCAAGTATGAGATTGCATTTAGAGATGAACCAATGCAGTATATCCCTGAATGTCATTTATTTGGTTTTTATTGCACCAGGGACAGGAAGTGTGTGGTTTTCAGACGTCATCCTTTTACCATTTCCTACTTGTGTAATATTTATCTATTAAAACTCTTCCCACAGTAAGTCAATTTGACAACATCTTGATGTTGACAATTTTATACCATTTGATGGCTTGTTTTGTGAAACAGCTCCTTCAAATATGTTTTAATTTTGTTGTAAAAAATAAATCAGATCTTTGTTTTTTGTTTTGTCCATTTATGCTTATGCTCCATATCAAATTATCTTGTAGTTTTTATTTCTTCTAACTCTGTTTGAGGAAAATTGTGTACAAGATTGACCATTTCCACCAGCCCGATTTGGCCCTACTCTAGAGCTCGGTCGGCTCTACAGCCGGTGGAAAAGAGGAGTGTTAATCCTCTTTTCCATTTATTTATTTTTCCTTACATTTTGAATATTGGATGTAAAGTAACTTAAGAGGCATGTTGATGCATAAACCGGCTGAATACAAACGCACAGAGTGATTTATGTGCCTCGGTTTATCTGACAGACCTCCATTCAGCACAAAACAATGGTGATTGGCAGTACAGTGGCACCACTGTCCCTGGTGGCCACATGGCAGAATGCACACACTGACCTGCAGCTTGACCTGACAGTAAGGCTCCTCTGTGTGATCAAATTGGGGAGGGTTCTACAGCACAATGGTCTTAGTCAGCTCTTCACTCAAGGAGAATTTGGATGAAATATATGGTAAACGTCTTGATACTGAAGCAAAGGACCAACTTTGTTGCTTGAAGGATTTTAAGACATCTTTAAAGAAATGTAGGACCTAGAGGGAGTTTGTTTTATCTTTACAAAATCACTACTAAAACTGGACAAATAAGACAGATTCAAAAGAGGATTCGCCCACTTAAAACCAATGGCAAAACAGTCATTGTCACCTGTAACACAACAATAACCCTTTTTTTTTTTTTATAAAGTCAACAATGCAATCTGCCTGCAAGCTGTGCAACCCAACCCTATCTTATCAAGTGCAGGCACAGACACATTCTGCAGAAGAGTGTGGTCTGTGGACCTGGGAGACAAGCCAATGAATTCACTTCACAAGAATGCACAGCTGAGTCGGCCTCTTTTACATCCAAAACACACTTTTATCTGTTTGTCTTATTCCAATAAAGAAAAATTTAGTTCAGACTTTGCTTTGGGGATGTTCATTTAAAGTCAAATCACAAATGCATACACAAATAGATTGTGTCATCCAACAATATATAGTGCAATAAAACAATGTGATAATCCACGAATTAGTACTAGCCCTAATTTATGAAGCACTATTGCTCAAATGTTGAGTTGATCCACATTCCCACCTTGATCGTGTTGCTATATTCATGTTTGTACTTCAGTATTTTAGTTCAGACCATACAGCTTAAGTTCTACATGTTTTGTTTGTCATATTCTCTGTCAGTTTGAGACTTCCCTACAAAGGTATAATGTCATATTATAATGGCAGATGTTTTTATTAACTATATCGTCTGTCAAAAATATACAATTCATTCTAATTACTGTTACCAGTTATTTTTTACACTGCACCTGTGAGCGGGGTTTCTTCTCCACCAATAGATTTGTGTGTTTCATATTGCAAAACCAGTCTCACAGAAAACTGTGGAATAGTCACCATTGGTCCAACTTAAAAACAGTCATAATGCCACAATCTGGGAAACTCCAACAGTAGACCTGTATTCTTACATTTTGAATAGATAAGATAAGATAACCTTTATTCGTCTGGAAATTTCAATGTTGCAGCACACACAGACGACAGAAGGAGAACACAAGGAGCTGCTATGTTTCTTAGCTAGCTGTAAATGCGTCTATATCGATGTATCTCTATCTAAAGCTTTTCTATAGGAGTCTAACCCATAATAATGTAGCTTCACGTACAGCTGTGCCCTCTGCAGAGAGATACACATTGCTCTTTATTAGTTTGTCCTGTTCTCCTGTTTACTGCAGCTTTTCTGTGTCACTTCTGTCCAGACGCAAACATTTACTCTTTACCACCTTCAGTTTGTCTGGAAGTCCAAATAAACCGTTCTGTTGCAGCCTTCCCTTGTTAAACAATTATGCTATTTGACAAATATTAGCTTGTATCTAATCATTTAGTCCTATCTTTTCTGATCCACATTTTGTCATCACTTTTTCCTTTACTGGTAAAGTGAGAGTGAGGATTGTCAACTAAGTAAAGCATGAAAAACACATTTTTACAGAAATTATTTTGTTGTTTATAATCTATGGTATAGTTAGTGCTGGTAGTTACAATATTCTATGAGCTGCTATTTACAATTTGGGGAATACATTTTCCGTTTAAAGACAAAAGTTTGAATGTATAAACAGTGGTCTTGACTTAAATCTTGAAAAAATATAGTCCTGTTTGAAACGTTTTATACTGTCGACCAATCAGGGATCACATGGACCTGTTTAATAGTACAACTTCCTGTGTTGTACATGTACAGGTGCATTGCTGACCAGGTTTTCTTCTTTCTTCAGTCATAATCACCTCCATGAGCTGGTAATAATTACTGTATCATTATGGCTGGGCGATAACACGATGCTGAGAGGACCAACCTGTAGGCGATAACCATAAAGGCAACTGCATCTGTGTGAACATGATACAGTTATGAGCCCCTCACTCTTTACTCTGCCTTTGATGCCTTTGAAAAACTCAATGCTGAAGGTCGACTGCCACAGGAATAACATTTAGCACTGTATAGCATCCATAGTCGCAGCGTACATTACAGAGCAAATCGCAGCCATAAATTAAGGCATGTCCTGGAGATTAATAGCCTCAAATCAGAACATAATTATATACTTTACAAGGATGGAGACACAACAGACAGGCACAGACAGTGGCAATTAAAGGTTGGTTAAACTGTGTGGTTTCTATGGTGACGGGTCCTCATCGTTGCAACCTCTAAAATTCAGTTTGATTTAAAAATAATAATAATAAATGCTTTTGTCCCACGCTCTCTTGTCTGCAGGTTTTATTTTGAATCTGCTACTTCAACAAAAACACATTGAAGCAGATTTCCATAGCTGCGGTTTGTCTCGCCCGTCTGTGCCCCAGCAGTGCCCTCATGTAAGTGGGGGCTATGGCACTAGTGGTGGTGGGGGAGGAAGGGTCTGTGCCATGGGGGGACCTAGCACAGATCCAATTTTTGTTTTGCATAACTGTATTTAATTTGTTCAGAAAAAAAAACTTAACCTCAAGCCTTTCTGTCTCAAGCAAAAATAGCAAGATTTTAATTCAAAATAAAATAAGTTGTAACCAAATAAGACTGGTTGGCCCTCCTCAAGAGAGCAATATTCCAATGTCCCCCCGGAGAAAATAATTGTCTATCACTGGCTTAGATATTTTGGACTATTACTGTACTAGCATTTGTTTTTGTTTTTTTCACAATTATAGTTAATGTTCCCACTCTAACGCAATCCAAGAAGGTTAGGTGTCTTCATATGTTCGATGCCCTATGCACATTGAGTTGTATTTGTGCTATATAAATACATTTTATTTCCTTTCCTTACCCAGGCTCACAATGACACGCAGAAAAGTTAACTTGATATAACTTTTTTTATGGATCAGGAAAGTACCACAATAAATTTGAATTTATGTCATGTCTGTTTGAGCCGCAGTTGAAAAATCTTGTGTTACACTAAAAACAATGGCAATATTGATTTGTGTGTGTGCGTGCGTGTGTGTGTGTGTGTGTGTGTGTATGAAATGCAGTCAGTGGAGTAATGAGTCAGGTACAAAGATTCATGATCCTTCCAGTCCTTTGTGGAAGATGCAGCTGAGTTTTAGTGGCAGAGTAAAAGCTGTGAAGGCATTGATCTGTGTGTACAGTATAACACTGTATCGAATCGGTTTATAAAACATGAGATCTCTCATTTACCAAACACACATCCTGGGGCTACATTTACACTGCATGACGGCCTGCCTATTTTCTGGACACTGTGTACGGAATGCACAAGGTAAAGGCAGATATCCATACACCACAAAAGCAAAGAGTAAAGGCAAGAATATGCGTCTTTCTATCAAATCCACCAGTGGGAAGACAAAATTGTGGTTCAAAAGTCTGTTTACTTAAAGGTACTATTGCTCCAAATGAAAAAACATAACTAATAACTACTAATAACGTAACTAATAAAAACTATTAACATATGTGACCTTTTTAAGAATATTTACCTCCATCATGTTTAAAAACTTTTGTCACAGACTCAGGATTTGACTTATAAATGTCTCTGAGAGCTGAGGACCCTCAATGTCAGTGTGCAGTCTTAAATATATCACAGACTCATTACACGCAAAGTGAAATATAAAAGGCCTTTATTTGTTAACATGTCAATAATTGTCTCATAGCTTCTAAGAAACCCAAATAAAATCTTGGGGTTTGTAAGCCATAGTCATCAACATTCTAACAAACAAAGGCTTGACATGTTTCACTTTGCAGTCAGTATCATAAATAGTTTTCACATTTTTCGTTGAATGATAGAAAATATCTTTTGAACTGTTTTAGGTGCACCTCTATAATAGGAATAGTGTGACTTACAAGATTACAATTTATTTGATGATGATGATCCTAAAAATTACAATTGTTCTAATCTGTTATTACTGCTCAGCCATCTTTGAAGTGTGTATTATTTGTGGCTCTGGTTGAAGGTATATACAGTAGGAGGATTTTCTACTTCTGAGTGGATCCTCAAGACTATTGGTCCTCCCAATTGTCAATAATTCTGTTGATTTGTGCTCGTCAGATAAGACCAGAGAGTTTTGTTCAAAAAGTGGAGAGGGCGGTTATTGTCTAAAATTTGGGGAAATCTTCCCATACATCTTTAAGGTTAACTGTGAGGGCGTCTAAACTTGACCTGAGTTCTTCGAATAAGACAAGTTAAATCTGGAAGAATATAGAATTTATTTATAGTTAAGATTGCGTGAATAGATACACCAGTCTCATTGATTGCATACGAATATATTTTTTTGCATTTAAATAAGAAATGTTCATTTAGCTTGGCGATTAGACGGGAGTTTGATATAACTGATGAGCTTGCGAACTCCCTGGAGCCTAGACCCTGGTGGTGAA